CCTTAGGAAAGGTATGAATCCTCTACCCACCAGTTATGGGTAAATAGCAGGACAAACCGGGTTCTGTAGCCTTGGATGGCAACTGAAAGAAATGGCAACCTACTACGGGATAAATCTGTCTTGTCAGTCATGTATCGAAAGATACATGATTGACTAAGCGTGTATCACGCACGGGACATAACTGTATGACAGCCGCTAAGAAAGAAAGAAAGAAAGAAAGAAAAACAGCAAGTCTTCAAACGCAACAGTAGCAAGAATCAAAACATGAGAAGCAGCAGCAGTCGAAACAAAACTGTCAGCAGCAGCACTTGCAACCTAATCAGCAGAGCCAGAGTTAGGTTAAAGGCTTAAAGTTTAATACAGAAAATTGTCCCATGGGCAATGGCTGAGTGAGTAAAAACTTTGTTTTGGAGACATAATGGTTGTGTGTAGTTGCACTCAGTGGAAATGAGTGAACAGTACTAAATTGAAATAAGATGATATCCCTAGATATGAGCACCTGAACGAGAACAGTCTGCCCCAAAAGACAAAATAAAGGTTTCCATTTAGAATTCACTGTAGGTTATCCAGATCGATATACATTTGAGGAAGTCCGGGCGGCACAATGGCCGAAACATTATAATAAAAACAACAAAGATGAGGAAAATAGCCCGAATATAAATAGTGATAACTCCTCATCGTAGAAATTCAGACAAGTATGCTGGACAATTTTCTCTCCGACAAAGAGGGCTTACGGCCATATCACGTTGAAATGTCGGTTCTCGTAAGGTTACCAAATTAAGGCCACGTTGAACCTGAGCAGTAAGTACCTAAATGGGTTACCGCATGGAATACCAGGTGCTGTAAGATTGGATATGCGGGTAGTGTGATGGATAGCGGGTCGGAATAGCAAATAGGGGAGTCGATTTCCAGTTCCAGTCGGATTCATTATATTCACGTACACGCAAATACCCTTGAGAAAGGTATAAATCCAACACTTCTTTCCCCAGCTATGGGTTAATTAGTAACACTTGTATCAGTAAATTGTTATTTTTTCCAAATTTCTTACAATCTAAAAGATGTTTTCTGGCTTTAAAAAAAACAGCAAAAGTTGATAAGACTTTTGCAGGTTTACAAAAAAAGTCAATCATTCAATCAATCACAAATGAAAAGGCGATTTGAGGTTCGGGTGATGCGATTCTACAGAAGGATGCTGAGAATATAATGTACGGGACATGTGAGCAAAGATGAAGGTTTTTCGGGATCCATAATCGTTGTAACCTAGGGAAGGTTAATGAATATAATAATCAAATGTAGGTTGATAATGCACGATAATAATTAAGACAAGAACAACACATATAAGATTCGCCAGCGGTAGAAGTAGTCAACTGCTAGAAGTGAATCAAGTGAATTTCACAATGAATCGCCAACTGCAGGATATCTAACAACTGCCACACGCGGAATTTAATGTGGGGTATCCGAACCCGTAGGCTCGGCCCAAATTCAAACCCGAATTTAATGTGGGTAGATCCCCCCTACGTATAAAACGGGTTCAGGTAGCTGTTTCCCTAGACTCTACCCTTCGACATCACCTCGTCTGGGGATCCTTTCTCCCCGGAGGCAGAGAGTTTGACCAATACAACTGTACACGAATCTCCAACTGCAGACCAACATACAGTATTTACTACTTCATTTATGCGAATGTGGGCATACACATTATCATCCGTAGGTATGCTACAACAATCATGAAGAAAATAGGCTTGGAGAATATGACATCCACAGTATATAAGGAAGTCAATAGACAAACGGGGAGACACTGAGTAACCTATCTAATGAGGTTGTGTAAATACATAGCAAAATCAGCAGTAGTAAGGATTATAAGGAGATATAACTTGTTCAAAGCTACAAAGGATAGAAAGTTGGGAGGGCCATGATCGCCCACATCCCAAAGGGACTCGGCGCATAGATAAAGATGATTGTCTTCATTTGGGTTATTTAAACGATATTTTTAAATATTCTGTTGAGAATTTTAAAAAATTCTGTATGCGGAAATCCCCTACCCGATCTAGTCAGTTATGTGCCATGCGTGATACACGCTTAGGTGATAATGTATCTTTCGATGCATGACTGACGAGGCAGATATTTTCCCGCAGTAGGTTGACATTTCTTATTTGCCACCCAAGGTTATAGAACACGGTCTACCCTGCTGTTTACCCAGGGGTATTAGCACATAAGTGAATGTGATGGATTCGACTGGAATTCGAACTCGGTTCTCCGATTCCTCAATCCGAGCCGCTATCCATTATTCCACCGTCACAATTTAATGTTCTTCCATGTACCGTTTCCCTTCAGGATGTGGACGATCATGTCTCTCCACAAATTTCTAACACTTGTGGTCGTTTGCAGTTTTTCTTCATTTGCTAAGGCTCCCGCCACCCGTTCTAGTATCTATTCAAACAAGCTCGTCGGGTACGTGGCCCGCTGTCTTCCCCTGTCTCTCTTGCCTTCAATATGCCCTGTGAAGCTCAAATTCTCCAAGCTCTCTTTCCTCCTTAAGTGTCCAAGAAATGCCTCTTCCTGATTCGGAGAGTAAGTGTTAGTTTTGTCGCCATTTCCTTTCTGACTTCCGGGTTGCTTCCTCACTCCGTCCATGGAATTCTCAGTATCCTTCTGTAGAACCATTTTTTTTTGCGTTCAGTTTCCGCTTCGTCTGCGGGTTCAGGTATTCAATGCCAGATAAGTGGATGGATATCACATAGAAATCCAGCACTCTTTTCTTTGTTTCTAACGAATTGTTTTTTTTTTTTTGTTTTTTTTTTTTTGTTTCTTTCTCGGCACCTTTCTTAGCATTTGGAAAGCATCTTTCGCAACTTCAGTGCTTGTTCTGATGAGACGCCGAAACCGTATGAAGCATTGGAGTTGTGAAAGATGCTTTCCAAAAGCTAAACAAGGTGCTAAGAAACAGAAGAAAAAGATTCGTTAGAGACAAAGAAGAGAGTGCTATATTGCTATGTGACAATCTCCCACAGACGAAGAGAAAACTGAATTCAACACTTCATAGATATTTAAACTTCTATACATGCTTGATGTTGGGCTCCCAAATTATTAACTCGTATCTTTTTTTTTTTTTCCTTGCTGGTGACGGAACGTTTTGTCTTCATGCAAAGTCATGGAGGTCCTGTAGTTTTCTTTACGTGTCGGCCATCAACACGGTGTCATCTGCATATCTTATATTGTTAAGATTACGCCCACCGATACTACATTCTGATTGGATCTCCAGTTTCCTTATTCTAGCCTCGCTGTGGAGGTTGAATAAATGTGGGAAGAAGAGGGGTCCTTTTCTCATGCCCTTTCAATGCTATGTGATATACATCCTCTTTTGTGACATTGAATACCTGGAAGATCTCCTCACAAAAGTGACAAAAACTGAAGGTAACACTTCATAGATATTTAAACTTCTATACATGCTTGATGATGGCATTCCAAATTCTTAACCCATATCTTTGTTTTTTCCCCTTGTTGGTGACAGAACTTTTTGTCTTCATGCTGTTGATCATTTGTCCTTTTTTTTTTCTCATTTTCTTTTACTA